GGTGCGTACACGCTGATAGGCACTTCATTGTTTATGTTCATAAAACGTCGTGTAGCTCTTTCTTGTGACGCCATTATTATCGCCTGAACTCCAATTTTGTATCTTCGACAGAATGAAAGCACTTTTTGACAGTCGAAAGTGCCAAAGATGTTGATGTAGTCACACTTCTTTGTTATTGGAGGAACAACTGGAACGTGTGGGATATCCCAAGAGACGGGATTTTGGTGTAAAACATCTTCATTGATGGTGTACAGACTTTTATAGTCAAATGGAGGAAGTTCGTCGTCGTGAAGGGCTTTATGAAATTCGTTTGGAATTGCGTTCTTGAGGACTTGATATAAATTAGCAATGGTGCGCCCGTCACATAGTGAGTGGTTTGCATACAACTTTAAACGACTTGTTGCGCCATTTTCTGAGTATTCAACGTGAAACAGTGGAACACCTTTTTGTGGCAAATTGTAGTCAGCCGCTTCAATTTCTTTTGTTTCTTCAAATGGAACTTTTGTAATATAAATATCGACATTATCTATAAGCCATTTGTCGTCTAATTTATACCAATAAAAATGCCCGTCTTTTGTTTTTATAGTGAGATGAAAAGGAGTGTATTTGATTATCTCTTTCACCACGTCAGTTCTAAATTGTGTGTAATCAAATTTGTTAAACGTGTCACTCAAAGTCAGACACACATAATAAACAGGAATTTCATAGCCATTGAGTGGACGGATCTCTGTCATTTAGCTTTTGAGTTTCATATTTTTATTCGATTTGACTTTGAATCTTAATATTATCTTGAAAACTAAAGTTCGTTTTAAATTCATGGTGAATAAGAAACTTTTTAAAAAATAATTATATGGCCTCTTAGCATAGTTGGCAGTGCGTTTCCCTAGTAAGGAAAAGGTCGTGGGTTCGACTCCCGCAGAGGCCTTAAATTTTATTTTACAAAACATTTCAATAATAAGTAAACTCAAAAATAGTTTTTATTAAAATACATGTAATTATTTTAAATAACTAAATTGTTTATAAATGTCATGACTATAGTTGTTATAAAAAAGCTAAAATTGATTGTTGTAAAAGAATGTGACTTTCTTGATGTATATTTGTCAGAAAGTTGTCATTCATAATTGGTTTCAATAATTAAAATTAATATAATTTAATCATAAAAATATAGTTTCTTTTTTTAATTTATAATTAATAACAAAATGTAAAACAATAGTAGAAATATGGTATATTATTAAATATAAAAACCTATTGAATGTTAGGTTACTCATCTACAATTGATAATTGTGAATAATATTTATACAAAAATAAAAAATCAAAATATTATAAAACAAAACTATTTTTTAATTATTAAAAGTCACATAGTTTGTTTGAATTCAATAATTGAATTTGACCAAAAAGAACTTTAAAACACACAAAAAAGAAGACATGACTTACCAACAACCACTTGCTTACGTCACACCACAGTACAATGTCCCACCCCCACAATACGTCCAATATACTCAACCGATGATGCAGACTCCTCCACAACAATACCAACAAGTCCCCGTTCACCAAGGACAACACATACCTCAACCTGAAATATTTGTTCCATCGTATCAACCACAACAAAAGGTGAATACGACTAATCAAAACGACTCAATGACTTCTGCTATGTTCTTTGCACTTGGATTTTTACTCTGCTGTTTGTGGATAATGGGGTATTGCAGATATCGAAAATCAACGGACGCTCAAGCAAGGTCGTTTGCTGTTCTGTCTCTCGTGTTCTTTATTATCTCAACAATCATCGTCGTGTTCGTCGTAGGCTTTTTCATTGTGTACTTTGTCATCATATTCACCGTGATCGTTTCATTAGACTATTAACTCTCTAATTGTATTGATTTAAATTATTTAATATTTTTATAGTATATGTACTATACTTGAAACAATATAACTCCATTTATTATATGAATGTGATTTAATTAAAATATAATTAAATATTTATTTAATTAATAGTTCAATTTAATTAATATAATAGTATATTTTATTTAATTGATATATAATAAAAAGTACTAATAATATCAGTCTGAAAAAATGATTTGTTTATTATATCTTGGTGATAATTAAAATTAAAAAACAGCAATACGAATTAATAATATAAACTTTTTTAAAAATGGATTATTATGTTTAAAACCTATAATTCTCATAATATTTAAAAATAACAACACTTAAAACAACATTATGTTGATAAAAATTGATCACAACTAATTAATTTAGTTTTGTGGTAATTAACCATCTTAATTATAATAATTATGACAATGATTTGTGACTCAAATTGGTTTGAAGTGTTTAAATTATATTGTATTAAAAACCTTTTTTAATACAATATAATTTATTGTATTAAAGAACACCACATATTAATTGTTACTAAACATAACAAGATGTGAAACTGTTTTTCATCCAATTATATTAATACGTTTTTATTAAAACATATAAATAAAAATAAATCAAACACATATTTTTGAAAATATATTTTTAATGATGGCATAATAAAAATTTTGTATTTCTGAATGATATAAAAAACGAAATATATTGTAAATAACAACGGTTTAATTACGACAAACACTACGACAAGTTTAACTTAAAAAACAAGTTTGGGTTAAATGGTAAAACTCATAGTTCAATTAAAATATAATTTTAAACTATAACCTGAACTAATTAAATGTTCTTTTATAATTAAGTTTATATAAAAAATTGAATAATTTAAAGCAAAACGAAAAACCAAACACACTATTTAAATAG